CCCCGCCTTAATTTCACATGAACATAATGCCGGTGACATCTGGCAGCGGAGAATGGTGTGTCCCCGTCCCCTGCACGCACCGAGAGATGGCGACCTCCGCGTCCCCTCTCCTCAGCCCCTTCACCTCGGCGTAGGCCTGCAGGTGCTCCCCGGCTGTCAGGCTGGGCCACAGCGCGTTCTCCTGCGGACAGCACCCCAGGACGCCCAGGGGGTCCCCTCTGCCGCTCCCTTTCAATAGCACCTGCACGAAATAAGCCCATTCTCAGAGTCTGTCCAAAGTTCTGTGCGTGCCTGTGCGTGCAGGTGAGTGTGTCAGGGAGGGCCTCTCCCCGCAGACAGGTGCTAAGTGCACAAAAGCAAATAATCCCTCCGCTCAGGGGGAGACCGCAAACCGCAGTGACTGACGTAGAAGGCGGATATTCCACCGAGTTCATCCATGATACTTTAGACTATTCCCAGTCCCGCACCCTCGCTGGATCCAGGCTGCCTGTCTCACTGACTGTGGTTTCACTTCACTCACTGATCCCGACACTCAGAGGAACAGACCCTCACTGAGGAGTCTCCCGGAGATAAACAGGAATAACTACAGGATCCATTCCACAGCCAGGAAGCCGCTCTCGGTCAGGGACAACCCTCCTCCCAGGGGAGACTCAACCCCATCTGGACACACTTGGTTGTCATGATTGGTGTGTGCGCACTGGTGGGGGGACTGTGATGGGCATCCAGGGAGTGGGGGGCCACGCCCAGCGCTAAACACCCCACAGTGCAGGGGACGGTCCCCACCACAGAAAGGATCCAGCCCACACTGTCGCTGGAGCTTCAGCCCTGTGTGTGGCCCATGGGGACCTGTAAACACATGACAGCATTTATTAATCATGTGACAGGCACTGGCCTGTACAAGAATAACAACAGCCCATGTGCACTCAGCGCTTGCTGTGTGTCAGAATCGAAGCGTTTTATGCATTTTGGATTACATCGTCCTCTTACGGAAGCCCTATGTGTGTTAGATGGGTTTTTTTATCACTGATATTTTTACACAAGAGGAAACAAACGCACGCATGGATTAGGAAACTCCCACAAAGTCCAGATGGGAAATCTGAGGCTTAAAACTTGACCCTCAGAATCCAAGCCCTTGACCCAAGCCCTATATGGTTTTCCCCAAAACAAAGGAGGGGAGACCTAGCCATCCCTGCCTCATGGAGCTGTCATTCGGCAGAAACCGAAAATAAAGAAGTAAGCGTGTAAGAGATCTGGTTATAGCCTCTGCTTCCTGCTTTGGAGGAAACAGACCTGCTGCACAGTAACAGGGAGGGCTGAGGTTATCTCATGACACAGCAGGGAGAGGTCTGGGGGAGGCGGGTGGTAAAGTGACAAGGAGACGGCTGAGCCCGTGGAGAGGTGAGGGAGGCACTCTGACCCGGGAAGAGCAAACCTAGATGTCCTGAAGTGAGATGGGACCTGAGGCCAACAGGAGCAGGGGGAGGGCTGCGGGAGGTGCTGGTCAGGGCCACCACAGGCCGGCTCTGTTGCCGCCATGGTGAAGACTTTGGATCAATTCTCAGAGACAGGATGTAAGTGGGAGGGTGACAGGACCTCAGGTGCATCATGTGGGGACTGCTGTGGCTGCTGTGTGAGGCACGTGGATGTGGGAAGACGACGTAGGAGACCTCTGCAGCAGTCAAGGCCGCCGGGCAACCACTGCCCTGAGGTCAGGGCAAGGGCAAGGGTCAGCAGCATTTCCCCTTCACAGGTGTAGGCTTTGACCTCTGTCCATTATCTTACCCACCTTGGCCGAGTCCTAGACTCACCGGCAAAGGGGATTCCTATACTACTGTAGCTTCTGCTTTGGAATTTAAGCAATTAGTTTTTTCTCACCTCGGGTCACTATTGCTTTAATAAGTCCTGAATCTTTTCTCACTAGGCCAAGGTGAGAAGCACCACTCTGTGCTCCAGAACCCCCAGAGTACCTGCGACAATATTGAGGACTTTCTGCTGCCCTGTCATCCATGACATCAGCTGGGCCAGGACATGGCTCAGTAATGGCAAGGAAGTTTCTGTTGTACATGCTCCGTGCAAAGACATGTGACATTTTACCTGCTCAGAGACTCTTATCCTAACGCAAGTGACATGTAATCTGTGATTACAGCACATAGGTGGTGAGCAGTTACTAAACAGGAAGATTCATGACTCTGCACGCACAGGAGCGGCATGTCTGCGGTTTCTGTGGGATGCTGGTTGAGGCCGCTCAGTTCTGATGCTTCTTAGTTTCCAAGAGTCAGCAAAGCAAAGACCTATGACCTTTTAATGAATCTATTTTTCACTCATTAAAGAGCATAGTATAGGTTACACGTAGCTCCTCTTAGCATCTAATTATTAAGAAGGAGAAATTTTTAATCAATCCTGTTCATTCAGGATTAACAAGCTGTGGTGTATGTATACCAAGGTATACTGTTCAGCCATTAGAAAAGATGGAGGCTTTACATCCTTTGCATTAATCTGGATGGACGTGGAACACATTATTCTTAGTAAAGCATCAAAGAATAGAGAACCATGAACCCTATGTACTCAATTCTGATGTGAGGGCAATAAATGGCCTAGTGCATGGTGAGGGGTGGGGAAGGGGAGAGCAGAGACATAGAGAAAGAAAGAGGGGAAAAAATATAAAAAAATAAAAATAAAGTGTTCTGCTGTAAAAAAAAAAAAAATCCTCTTCATTCATGCATAAATCTCCCTAACTGATTAAGGATTATCTACACAGTTTTAGGATCCCCATCAAGATTTGTGGTGTAAGGTTTGCCCCAGGCGGCATCAGTGACCACCTTTCCCTGTGTTTCACTGACCTGCCCTGCGGTTGGTTTTGTGTCTCCAGAGATCATCTTAATCACTGTACTTTTCCCAGCTCCATTGTGTCCTAACAACCCTATAACTTCACCTGAAAGAGAGAGGTATGCTCAGAAATATGCAAATCGTTACAATGGAAATAAAAGCAAACACCATTGGAGGACTCATTATCCATCAAGCAGTTTGTGAAACGTGCCGTGTGCATCCTTCCACTCATTCTACGCGTGCACACACACACACACACACACACACACACACTCCTGAGCATCTTCACACGCTTCACCTCACAGGTGAGGACGCTGAGGCTTACAGAGGACGAACGATTCACCCAGAGACACACAGCCAGTAAGAGGCCGAGGGAATTTGAAATTAATTTCGATTTCAAAGCCTGTTGCACTGAACCACAAAATGTGCTATTTGTTAGGAATGAAGACCCATTACTACGTCTCAGAGGGATCCTTCTTGGTGGTCTTCTCTGCTGTGGAATTAATTGTTACTTAAACATTGACACCATCCTTCCCAACAGAAAGACCGCCTCTTTTGTCACTGTTGCTCTGCTTGTTTTGACAGAACAGACATAACTGTCTTCCTGTGCAAAGGGAAACTTTGTTATAATTATAACTGAGGCTTTTCTGTGGGAAGGAGCAGCCTCAGCCTCAGATGGGCTTGTCCGCAGAGGGCCCCAGACCTCAGGGCTCTTAGTCCCTGTGCAAGGCCCACTCTTCAGAGCTCAGGATTGCTCTGCTAACAGACCTACTGTTTCCAACCTTTTTTAACACAGAAAGACACATTCCTTGTGGCGATTTTTGTCTTCCTTTTGGAAAAGCAATTTTTCTTTTTGCCTGCGTATTCCTTCCGTAGGCAGCTGGCAACGATGACTGGTTTCTGTAAAGACACGTAAACAATAATGGGGCTTTATTCTCACCTTGAACAGAGAGAGCGCCCCATACTCTCCTCACCAGACCTTTCCCTAAATCAGATCAGAAATCAAACTAGTTCTTTCCCCAGACACTGCAATTTTTCAAGCCAACTCCCCCAGCCTGTATTCCTGCAGGGAAAGGTCTTTTGCA